ACTTTGTTGCTACTGGTGTATTACAAGAAAACACTGTGTGACCTGAGGGTTGAAGAACAAAAAATCCAAAGGAACCAAAGGGTACAAATGTTATGCACTTGCTTGGGCTAACAAGGAGATGTGCAATACATGGGGAACTGACCCACAGAAAAAAAGAGAGGAGGAAAACAACCTGAGTTACATGCAAAATGAACACATTTCAAAAGTAGGATACATCTGAAATAAAGGTAAATGTGATTCAGACAACATTTCTGGGAAAGACAAGGACATACTAATGTCCCTGGGCAAAACATTGCATAAAAAGTGCTACTACCTGGGATAGATTTTATACTCTTCCACCTATACACTCATTTCTGGACAAGAAGACAAAACATTGTATGCTTCTAAAAGCTAATACATGCCCTAAACATATCAGCAGCATGACTATTTCAGCAGAAAATGAGTTTTTCAGCTCTAACAACGGCATGTAAATGCAAATATTTATTTTTAATTTCAGTCTCCTCTGAAATGTACTTTTCAATTCACAAGACTGAGTGTATAAAACTGACCAGGAATCATTGAGGGTGCCACTTAATTAAATTAGATTTTCCATTAAAGAGAACTGGTAAAAATGTAAAAACCAGGTGTATTTGAAACACGTTACTCCCATTTCTTCCAATGATTTTGTACAATATTTGACGGGAATTAAAAATCTTGCAGGGATGGCACCTTTCCAAACAGAGATGAGAGCAATTTGCCCCACTCCACTATCTGCTCAAATCTGTTTGCTTACCACTGGACCTAGTCTCAGTCAAGAATCAGCAATGGACAGAATACCCAGCTCACTTTTGTGCACTCATACATATCACAGTGGTAATTTTATTTTCTTCTGTGAAATGGAGGTTGAAAATCTGCTCAAACCTTGCCCACTAACTTCGAAACACCATTTCTTTCAAATGGGTGTTTGATTTATTCTCAAATGGCAGCTTCGTTGTTAGGAAGTTTTGTCCTGGCTGTTTGGGTGGAAGTGGGTTCTGCCCAGACATGCCCAAGAGACAGGAGCCCCCTGAGCCTGGATAATCCTTTGGAAGAGGTGTGAGTAGGAATCAAGTCTGTGAACTGTGGGTAGGAGACCTGAATCCCAGGGGAACATGGGAGAGAAAGAACTAGTGTAAAAGGTCAAACTCCACCACAGTAATGTGTGGGACAAGGGCTTGATCCTAAACTCTGGTCATGCTTCTAGAAGCAAGTGTCCAAATTCTCTTCTTCAGCTTGAAAGAGAGAATCTTGTCTTGTAGAACTAAAATAGCTGTGTGTGATTTTCTCTTGTTTCTTTCCACCTGCTTCTACAATGGCAGCTAACAAATGTTCTGTTAATGTTCTAGTACAGGAAAAGATGTTTATTCTTGTAACTTTTCCTAGCTCTGGAGTAATTTCTGAGTAGCTGAGAAATGGGGGCTGACAAAGGGCTGATGATTTGGAGTAAACCTACCCTACAGTATGCACCAGACCAAACCAGGCTCCAGAGATGGAAAGGCCTTCCACTACCCCGTACAGCTAAGAGCTGCCAACACAGCACTCCTGTTTGGGAAAAGAGATATCCCAGTGAAAAATATAAACCAGTTTATCCCTTGCATGGAAAGAAGTAACAAGGTCTATGCCCAAATCCCAGTTGGCTCCCACCCATGAGGCTGAAACAATCAGCAGTATTCTTGCTCAGAGGATGACAGCAGCATGTATGTCAGGAATGCAGGAAGCACAACACTGTTATGTTGGAAATTCCTTCCTGAATTTGTATGTGATGCAGGTTTTGGTGATTAGTATTACACAGAAGAAAGGGAAAAGAACAAAGCAAGAACACAATCCATTCAGTCCTTACCACGCATAGAGAGAATCTGAAGGGACTTGACTTAAACCCAATTATAAAATATATCAAATCTAACAAGGGCACTTGACTGAGGATTTCCCACAGACAGTAAAATATCAAGACAGACTTGTTCCATTTTTTTGTTCTTTCCAGTACCATGAAAAAGGAGGAAGTTTGTTCTTGTTTTCCTTTCAATCTCAAGAGGTGGCTCAGGAGGAAATGTGGATCCCTCATCCCTAGAAGTGTTCAAGGCCACATTGGATGAGGCTCTGAGCAATACCTTCTAGTGGAAGATGCCCCTGCCCATGGCAGAGGGGTTGGAACCAGATGATTGTTCTCTACAGCTCCCTGAAAGAAGGTTATAGCTGGGGAAGTCTCTTCTCCCAGGCAACCAGCAACAGGATGAGAGGAAATGGCCTCAAGCTGCACCAGGGGAGGTTCAGGCTGGACATCAGGGATAATTGTTTCACAGAAGGGGCTGCCAAGCATTGGAACAAGCTGCCCAGGGAGATGGTGAAGCCACCATCCCTGGAGGTGTTCAAGAAATGACTGGATGTGGCATTCAGTGCAGTGGCCCAGGACAAGGTGGTGATCAGTCAATGGTTGGAGTGAATGACCTGGGTGGTCTTTTCCAGCCTAAATGATTTTGCCATCTTTAAGGTCCCTTGATGCCTTGAGAGCAGAGTTTAGACAGTGTTAAAGGAATAAAGTAAGTATTCATGAAAAGGCCTTCAAAGGATACACCTTGGCCAGCACAAGAGCCTGGCTGAGGCTACACCCAAGATGGATGACAGGTCACAACTTTTCATGCTTTTATAAGTTTTGGTCCATTTACTTACTGGGGTTAATTGTTCAAATACAGCTTCAGGTTATGAAGTTCCATCCTCCCAGACTGCTCTCCAGTTTGCTGTTGTTTGTACTTTTTGGGCTGCAAGATAGCAGCACTTTGGCTGCACTGGAGCTGCAATGGTGCCCTTGGTTCTCAGGCTGGGAAAGGATTCTTTAGTTGAACTAAACTATGAGGAGAACTTGCTAACACCTTATATGAAGTTCAGAGTTAGATACTAATGCAGTACAGAATCTGGATAGTATGAAAGCTAAAACTTAAGGCATCACCTTCTGTGATTCTAAGAAGTGGCTTAATTAAGTAAGTTCTAAGTCACCAAAACCAGGCTACCAAATTGCTAGCAGTAGGCTCTGAAGTCAACAGTGATATGGGAGTATTCTGCCAGGTAAGGTAAAGATTCAAAAATACTCAAAATAAACCACTAAAGAGGCTAATCATTTTAAGATTTTCCTCTTGTAGTTGTCCTACATTAAACTGTATCTCAGTGTTTTCCTCTCCAGTTTCTGCCTTAGATGGTAATTGAGGGAAATGTGGGTTGCAAACTGTCTGTGACAAACTGGGTGTAAACCCACCACCCCCTGGCTGATGCGAGAACACCAACAGCAGCAACACTGGCTCCATAAATCCCAGTCACTCTTCACATCCTAATCTATGCATTAGCCAAAAACACCACTGTCAGCACAAACTGCTCAGTCCCTAAGAGCTTGTAAGAGAAATGTTACACTGGTGTATTTCTTACTTTCTTGTGTTGGGATCTCCCTTTAAAGCCTGGGAGATCCCAACAGGAGCTGAAGACTTGACCAAGATTTAGTACACACTGGATTTCTCTCATAGAAGCAGGTATTTAAGGCACAAATATTCTAACACAACAGGCAACAATAGAACTATTTAAACACCTCCTGCCAGTGCTGAACTCCAGACTGACAATCCAGAACCCTTGTGTCTCTGAAGTACTTCACAAACTATTAAATTACGGAGCTCTTTCTTTATAAAAACAGTTACATGAATTTATATGCACCAAGAAAAATAGTCACAGTTTGACATTCATTAGGCTGCAAAATTTTGTTACCAAAACACCTCACTCAAACCAGTTACCAGCAGCAACTGTGAATTACACCAATAACCAAGTGGTTTGTATTTGGGAGTCTGAGGAAAAAAAATCTGGAAACTAGTGCTCTGGTCAGCTTTGGTACTTGAGATACACTTTTTGCACCATTAACATGGAAGGCTTGATTCAAATTCTTCTGCAAACTAAAATGTGGAGGCATGAACAGGAGTGAATTAATTACATGTTTTATGGGGGAGATCCTAGTCAGCTCAAGTCTTTCAAGTTTGAGCTCAAATTCACAGCTGACAGTGTCCAATCAAGACAACCCATTTCAGGTAGGTTTGACAGGGATTTCAGAAGACTAAACTTGTAAGCATTCCCACCAGCACTTTTGCATGACTTTGGCACAAATAAAAAAATAAGTCTTGTCCAGTTTTGGAGAAGACTTAAAATGTATCAGATCCAGTTCAGGTGCAGAAGCCCAAAACCCAGCCTGCCAGACTGACTTTCATGTCTTGGTCCTAGAAATTGGTCTGTTAGAAGTTCAAAGCCTTTTCATCCTTCACTTAACCTGATGGAGTGGGAAGAATTCAACCCTTTTATTTTCTCTTAAATCTTGATTTTGAAAGGTAGACAAATCATAATTAGCAGAACATACTTTTTATTTGACTCCCTCCAGCATTAACACAGCCTATGTGTGTAAACTGCCTACTTGTCTGGCAGAAGAATCTATCACTGAGGCAATGTAAGCAAGTTCAAATGGTCTTGCTAAATACAGAAATCTGGCTCAGTTTACACAATTTTTTTAACAGTGTATCTTATAATTTTGAGTACAATGTATTGCCAGAAAAAAATAAAAGCTTTAAAAGTCATATTCTATAAAGCCATGTCAGGTACAGTAAAGTACAGAAATGTTCTTAAGATGTTAATGAAGAGACACCTGTGAATAAATTGGTATTAACATGGTTAAATTTACATGGTACATTTAAAAAATTATAGCACATAAAAGCTTTAAGGCATCATTTCTTATGACTTATTCCATAGTCATTAATTTGAAAATCAGAGCAGAGATAATTAGATAGTGTGGCTACAGACCAGACTGAGATATTTCACATACATGACACTTTGTAGACAGGCCTTTTCAATTGTTCCTTGGCTTGCTATTAAGCTCAACCTACCTTCTTGCAAGGTAACCCTGCTAGCATACACAAAAAAGAAAAAAAAATTAAAAATTCAGTATTATGAAATGAAATACCTACCTGAGAGCTTCATGAGGAGCTCGGATGCTGCCTTGACTGACATGTCCTGCCTCATCACATTTGCCTGTGCTTCTTGTGGCTTGAGTTTCTCTTCAGGGACATTTGGAGCTGAGGCTTCAGACTCTTGGCTGAATACATAGCTGGGCTGAGACACGGCCGAACTTCCAGCTTCTTCATCCTTAGGCTCCTCTTTCACTTTAAAATTAGGAGTCAAGGGCTCCTTTTGATTTGCAGCTGTCAAGAGATGGAAAGAAGAGAGTGAAATACATAATCCTGGAACCGGTAGTAACAGGAAGAAACCATAACCTGAGAAATGCTAGGGCAGGTACAGGCAGCAGACACATCCAACTGTGCTCAAAGATGCTTCAAGGGACAAACTTCTGCACCTTTTCTGCAAAGGGGCAGTTTTGAAACACAACAACTGCATGTACCAAAGCTCAGAAGAACATTCTCTCACTTGTTTCCCCCTGCTCCTCCTAATAGCTCCTGCCTTGTCATTGGTTTCTAGGTTTTCTACAGGCTTGGTGCAAGTTTAAAACTTTTCACTTAAGGGCAAATTTGGCAAAGCCCATGGGTATGATATACTAAGGTTTTAATACATGGAAGAGAGGCAAGATATGAAGAGTAGGAAGACAGAAAACCTAAGAGGGGAGTAAAAGGGAAAAGATATCAAGTTCTTAGGTCCTAAAAGTTGCTGTATTAAGAAGAGAACTAAGAGATTTTCAGAAGAGAGCTCTGCACTGTTCCAAGCTCTATGTCCATGAAAAGAAAGTAAGTTTAAAATATTCCTTTTGAATACTCCTCCTAAGCAGCTGTACAGCCTCAGAGGAGGGCAAGGAGACTTTGGGGAGCTCCTTAAGATCTGCACACTGAGCAATGCTTGGAGGGCCTTTCTGATACCTCTTGACAGCAGCAGAACCTCTGCACGGCATTAGAAGGATAAAACCAGAATAGCTCTTAAACAATACTTCCAAGCCCAGCCAACATAAATTCATGGGCAGAGGCATGACAAGTCTCTGCAGAAGTTGCACTTGTCTTCAAGTAAATCTTCTAATAATTTTTTTTAATTTAACCATGAAGAGATACTTCTTTCCCTGTCTCTTCATGACCTTTTCTTGGCCAAAATGTCACTTTAAATTCCCAGTAACAAACAGTAGATGACTCGTTGAGTGCCTTTAACTTTAGCAAGTTTACATTTTTCCCACCTCTCTAAACTTCTGACTCCACAAACACAAAAGACAAAATCTGGCAACATTTACCTGCTTAAACCCTTGGTCTACTTTTTCCTCCCTTTCAGCTTCTTACCTACTCACAGTCTCCTCACTTTTTTGGCTTATTTCCTCAGACACTCTTCTTCTCAGCAACTCCCCCAAAACTCCTAGAGAACCCAAATTCCTGCATCCTACCATGAAGTGCTCACCATCTCCCAGACACCTGAACTCTAAAATATGAGGTACAATTACCATCGTTATCAGAATTAGACACTCACATTTGCTACTTTGAGCCTTTGTTCATTTCCACACAGGTCAAATATTTCATGTTTGTTTTTGGGGGTGTGCTAATGATTTTTAAAGCTTCTGCATTACCCTGTAACACAACACATCTTCCCAATCTATATTTTAGAGTTGTTTGATTTTCCTCCTTGTTGCTGGGCAAGCCATTACCAAAGAACAGGATTCAGGCAATTGGTATTAAGAGTGCACACATAAGCAATGTGCTCATACACATTAGTTCTAGTCACTTCAGGAATTACATTACCTTATATCTGGAATTTTTAATATAACCTATAGGAGCTTTTACCAGCATTAGGAATTGCTTCTGCATTTTTTATTTTATAAAGAAGAGCGAAAGCAGAAATATGAAACATTAAAACATGCTTTAAACGACAAAAATACAAGTTAGATCTCTCAAAGCCCATCTTAACTTTACTAAGGTACTAACAAAAAAATTCCATCTATCTTCTTTATCCTGGCTTCAGTCTATTCTGGGGTTTGACCTGGGGTGATGAATGGTCACAAAAACAAAGAGACCCAAACCTTCTCTGCTGGATTACCTTCTGCTGTCCTTTGCTTTTAAAACATGCCAGTCTAGCTGCTATGCTGATATGAAAAATACCTCCACCAGGATCTGAGTGCAACTGAGAGAGAGCAGTCTGCCTGAACTTTCAGAGAACACTGGGGAAAGAAAAGGTCTTTTGAATTTATTCATTTCAAAAAGGTTCTAATTCAAATTTGTCCCAGAAAATAAAGGAAGCATGAGTCTGAGTGAAGAGGTAAAGATGACCCACTGATAACAACCATTAACCTGTGGACCCAGCCTTGTCTCTGCCATGAACCAGGGCAGAAAATGAGCCAGGTAGAGCAAGCACTACAGGCTGGGTGAGCCTACTCTTCCACCACTTAAAATAGAGGTGATATTAAACTGGCATAGCTCAGTGTAAGTTTGCAAGCATATGCCATGGCAAAAACATCTATAAACAAACAGAATGGAGCAGAATTCAGATAAGATCACAGACTTAAGCAAGGTACTTATTACAAGAGTTAAGTGCTATAGTATGCAGAGGTAGATGCTTATTGCATTACCTTACCACAAGAAAAAGGATCAAAAGGAATGCTTTTGGAACAAATTAGCATTTTTTTAAACCTTCTTATCACCAAGTCAAAAGTCAGCAGCCAATGTGACCCAGTCTAAGGTGGTGCCTCAGTGCTCTTCATCCCAGGGTATCTCAAACCCTGCTAAGATGAAGACAAGTTCTACTAGTTCATAGGACCAAAATTTCAAGATAGATCATGCCAGAGTTTAAAGAGTTTAGTGATAGTCCAGTTCTTGGCCCTTCAGTTCAGGAAGAACATTGAGGTGCTGGAGTGAGTCTAGAAAGGGGCAACAGAGCTGGTGAAGGGTCTGCAGCACAAGTTTTATGAGAAGTGGCTGAGGAAACTGGGGGTGTGTACCCTGGAGAAAGAAAGCTCAGGGGCAACTATCACTCCACAATTCCCTGAAAGGAGGCTGTAGCCATGTGGAGGTCAGACTCTTGTCTCAGACAGACAGGATAAGAGGAAACAGCTCCAAGCTGCACCAAGAGAAGTTTAAGTTGGATGTCAGGAAGAATTTCTTCCAGAAAGGTTGATGAGACATTGGAATGGGCTGCCCAGGGAGGTGGTGGAGGTGTTTCAGGGAAGACTGGATGTGGCACTCAGTGCTGTGGCCGGGCTGACAAGGGGGTGTTTGGTCATGCATTGGACTCGATGATCTCAGAGGTCTTTGCCAACCTGACTGATCCCATGAAGTGATAAGATCCAGAATGAATCAAGTCTCCCTCCCTTCCCTGGCACACCTTTCCCTTTCTGTCCCTACCCCACACGTGATCCCTCCTGCAGGGTCAGCCTGTGCTGCTAGGAGCCACTGCCTCCTCACACTTCTGAGCCTTCATCCAGGGTAACAATGATAAACAAAACCACATTGATAACACATCTACCAGCACAGCATCAGACATAATCTAAATGAGCTCTTCAGGAGATATTACTCTGTGTGTTTACAGTACTTCACCAATGAGAAAAATAAAACATAGTCAGGGTGCCCCAACCCAGAGGAAGCCCTGAAGGTGTGCCTTTGGCACTATTACATGAAGGAAAGGAATCCCAGACTGTTGTTCTTACCCATGTCACTGATTCTGCCTACTCTACCTGCTTTGTTTTGGACAGAAGAGGGAATTAATAAATTAGGAAAGAAGTAGAGTCTTATTTCTTTAATTAACTGGCAGCATATTCCTTGAACTGATGATGTTTTCTAAAAACCAAATATTTAAATTGTAGATAAATCACAAAAATAGAAGAGTTATTTGCCTCATTTTTCTCACCCCAGAAAATAAAAACAAAATCAGACAACAACTACTGGGTCAGTTTCAAGTCATTTGTTATAATTAATAGGGTTTTTACTCTTTCTTGAAATATACTAAAGCAGATTCTAAAGTAAATGAAGCCTAACACAAAAGGACATAAAAAAGGGCAGGTTGTCTAATTTATCAGATCCATACATAAAAGCTAGAGGGGGAATAAACCCAAAACACAAAAAAGACCCCCTAAACAACAAAAGTCCCCACCACTCTTGTCTCTGTCCCATCTTGGATCCACAACTCTGGACAAAATTGCTAACACATGGGGAATAGCAGGCGTGATGCATCCACCAGTCATTTTAGGGAAAACAATAAACAGATGTAAGAAAAAAAATATTGCAAGTAAGGGAAATAAAATTTTACTATGACCAGTTTTTAAAAATCCCATGACTGAGGAATCCTTAAAAAAATTAGAACTGGACAAAGCATAAGTTGAATGTTATTAAAGTATATTTGAATGACAAAATTATTACTCCCCAGAAGGAAGAGTATCTTCTATCTACATACAAAAATAGATACACACACATATCCCAACTTGTATTTAATTTACATTCATTCTGAACAGCAGAATAAAGGATGTGTTGTCTGCACACTGAATAAAAAAACCCCAGCAATTTAATTTTGAAATACACAGCGAGGAAACAAAACAAACCCACAGAGCAAATGAAACCAACAGGCAGGAATCTCTCAAGCACAGTGGATAATGCTCCATTTGTTCTATTCCATATCCAGAAAAAACACAGATCAAAGAATATTCCAGACTGCTGATTTTTATCTTCCTGGCAACTGGAACCATTTGAGCCATTTGGCAAAAGTAGATGATGAAAGTTATAACACTTTCCTGAAACTGCCAAATGCCACAAGAAAAGCTTTGGGCATCTGCCACTAATCTGAAACACTCTGGTAGAAGCTGCTAACTCCATCAGTCCACTTAAGAGGATTTCTAAATGCTCAAAATATTTATAACTGAAAGAGGGAAAATGGGCTGATTACTTCCAAGCCAAGCTCAATGTTACAAGTCACAATCAGCAAGAAGCTGGTCACTGCTCCATCTGTCCAAGAGAAAAACATGAAGAAAAAACCAGAATCCACAACAAAAATTCTGCCACCAGAAAAGGCCATGAGAAACAGCATCCATAGGGTCTGGGTTGAAAGGAACTATGATGAAACTTCCATCCCAGACAGTAAGCTCTGAGCTGTAGTGGTTAAAATGAACCAAGGGCCTATGACAGATCAGGTCTGCTGTATTTGGAGGACACAGTCCCATGACAGTGGGCATCACATCACCCTGAAGGCAGCTGTGGTCAATAAAGGGTGTGACTTGAGGCATCCACTATTTTAT